AGCCCCCACGGTGCACGAGGTGCCGGTAGGTAGGGGCGCGGGGGGGTGGAGGCACCCCCCGAGCTTCGGCCGGGGGTTTCGGAGACAGCGTCTCAAAGTTTTGGCCTCTGCAACATCCCCTGGCAACAAACTCCCTGAAGCGCGTGACGATAAAGAGCCCTTATCGTTGCATCCAAGCTTCTGCATGTTGCAGGTGCTATTGACGGTGCATTTAAGACCTCTCCTTCCTGCCCGCCCTTTTCTCGCTCTCGCAGACCTCCTTCCACGTCACCTCGCACGCGTTTTCGAATACTCTGGCACAGTGTGGCATGTACAGAGATAACGGGCTCAACACCTCCCTGGAGAAGAGCCACGTCACCGGCCCAGACAACTTCATCACCACCTACGACCACCTCAACTTCCATCCCAGCTACAACCCAAGCGGCCCATCGCACTGTTAGATCTGCGGCAGTAACGACGACAATGTGAAGCCACTTCAGTTTACTGCTGGCTGCCTAGATAAAAAAAAAAACCCAAAACAAAAAAAAAACCCCACGAGCAAGCAAACAACAGCACTGACCTTATCCTAAATACGTTGCTAAGCCTCATCTGAAAGCATGACAGGAGGCACTACACCATCCCACTGTAGCTGCTAAACGAGGCGACAGGCTATTTCATCAAGAGTAAGGCAGGTTTCTCTTACAGTCGCGCCCTGTGCCCTCAGGCTGGGACGAGGCACCCTTGTCAGAGCCCTCGCCTTCAGGTTACCTCTCCTGAGCGCAGACTTGGGATGTCACAGTTGTTATCACTGAGGAGAGTAAAACTGCAGAGACCGTCAGGAAAATAATTCATACGGCGCACTAAGCAGCAGCAGATTAACACGCGTGCTTCACGCTATTAACCACCTAAGTCAGGATTTAATGAGAATTTTTCTCCTGAACGCAGGGGGGGGGGGAATCTTTCAGCCTGGTAATGTGAGACTTGCTATTGCAATGTGATGAATAGCTACAAAATTAGCAGGTTAAAGGTAGCAGTACATTTCTAAAAACAACCCCCCTGACCAAAACTGTTGTATGTATTTTTATTTTTTTTTATTTTTTTTTTTAACAGGACTCCTACCTAGTTAAGGTCACAAATTTAGCTTTGGGGGAGAAGCGGTTTAAATCTGTGTTATCAAAACCAAGGTCAGTAATGTGTTGGAAAAAACACATCCAGCCACTTCGGTACTAGATGAAAATAACTAATTTACAGAATGAATGCTATTAGGAATAATATCTTTATTTATAAAGATTTAATGTGATTAAATGTCAGTTAAATAGCTCATAGGAACCATTTTACTTAATTTATAGGCAGCATATAGTTATAATACTAGAACAATATATATTACAAATATATATATTCCCTTAACCTTTTCTCTGTCACTAATGATCCTTTAAACTCTTGGCTCATGTACCACATATCATTAAAAATTAAGATTTTTAAACTGTTTCTGTACTATTTAATGAATAACCAAACTGCATGTTTTCCAGGGGTATTCATTAAGCCTTTGGATTTCTCGTAGAAAGCATGTTCATCTTTCTTACCTCTCAAAACTACAATGTTTTAAGAAATTATTCAAATAAAGACAACTAATCAAAAAGAAAATGTTTTCTTGAGTTTTATTGTAATAACTGTAGTTACACAGCCAGTGAAACTGCACCATTTAGACAGTAACTGCACTAAAAAGGAACACCTTAGCACGTTTGGCTTAAAAACTAGTCTTGAAGAGAAACTAGTTTGCCTGTTTACGGATGAGAAACGGTCCTACCTTACAGGTATAACACACTGATAGTATATATTAAAAATGAGCATAATGCTGTTCTAGCTGTTTGCTAAAAAAATAAAAATAAATGAGTGTAATCGTATGTCCAAGTACCACTGCAAATGATATTCTTCACGTTAGAAATATTCCCTATTTGTGTCATTTTTATATAGTCTTATAAACCGCACAGGAAGCATGCCGACGATGTATTTAAACATACTAGCAAGGAAGAGGTATTCTGTTTCATTAATAATATCACTAAGCAAAAATCTGAAGTCCAAAAGTAAACAGTGTGTCAGGCCTGTACTTGTGGGGTTTTTTTTTTTTAAACACTCAAACCCGAGTGTAGCTACACGTTCCTGGACCCACCAGCAAGATTTCAATCACGCCTACCAAACAATTCCAGTTTTCACTCCAGTGCTTTTGGTTATCTCAAACAGAAGAACAGCTGGCTAAATTCATCTTTGCTGAAGACACACCAATGCGCTGGAACAAGTAAATATACTAAGCAGAAACGGGTCTGAAAAGTTAACTGTTCAAATATTTAACGTATGAAAATAAATAAGCAACCCTCTGCCATTCCCTGCTATTCTTCTATTAGACTCTAGACAATACCTTGAGCTTCTCATAACTTCCCTTTCTTCTCCTGAAATGAAAAATAACATAAAGCGCTGAATTAATACAAACAGTTGTGACAATTTTACATATATTTTTATCCACGGATTATTCTGCCGGTGGAATAATTTAGGGATAAGACTGCCTCTGAAAAATATAAATTTAGTGGCTTTTGTCACGTACTTTCCACCTGTTTTCATACTTCATCTAAAAACACCCACCTCTTTTCTTCCTTGCTTCAATTTCTTCCCTTTTTGTTTTATTCTTGAACCAAAACCAGTTCCTCTGAACAGTTTTGCATGCAGCGTACCTTATGTCACCCTCATACAGACTGTATCCTGAGATACCTTGGGGTAAGGTTATCCAATTCGCTTCCACTGGGGTCCGCTGAGAAGGGAGCGACACGCAAGCTTCGGTTGCAGCCAGCCCCAGGAGACGTGCCTCTACACATCGATCTGCTCAAGACTACAGAGCTTTGCAGTTCCTCCTCATCTCTTCTGCATACTCTATTTCTCTGAAGCGTCCTGTGTCCTCCTGTCAGGTTGTTTACCTTACTTAGGTCAAAGACATATTTTCCTTGCGTTTACTTTCCTACATTTCCCTATTTTAGTGGGCTTAAGAAATACTGACCTCTTTCTTCAGGTGTTAGAGACCCAATACACTTAATTTTTAAGAAATACCTGTACAAATTCAAAATATCATTCTAAAGATGACACATTTTACTGCAGAGAATCTACCCGAAACAGTCTCTTTCTACTCCGTATTTTGAAAGCAAGATTTTCACATTTGCAGATAAAATTCTGTAAGGCTGCACTATCAAACCAAGACAAATTGCAGTTCTTAAAGGTTTGAAAAATTGAAAGCACATACATTAATAAAGGAAACGGCAGCAGAGATCGTGTGTTCCTTCCTTGTATAAAAAGCAGCTACATGTCAAAACACATGTTCCTAAAATAGCAAAGAACTGTTTATAAAAAATTAAGGTAGTCCTTGTGGTTTCCTGAGGATCCTTGAAGATTGCCCTTCCTGAAGCACAGAAAAATAGTCACTGTGATAAAAATAAAACAATATACCTATTTTCAAAGTCCTGAGCGAGCACAGATTCATCTGAGAACTCTGGTATTGCAGTCAGGATGCTGCAACTGACCAGTAGCCATAATAAAATATATCCAGTAGTTTAATAACATCCAAATTAGCAAGTTTTGTGCTCTGACTGAAAAAAAAAAATAAAACAATCATTGTGCATTTTTTTAAAAAGCGTGTTCATCCCATCTCCACACCATCAAGGGCTCCTAGACGCACTGCCGCCAGCCTTCGACAGCGGGGCAGAAAGGATCGCGTGCTAATCCTGGATGCTGCAGAAGCTGTGCTACAGAGGATGCCGTTTAGAGATACACCGCGTGCTCTCCGACTGAACGACGGATGTCACCTGCTGAACTCTGCCTCAAAACCAAGGAACCCCTTTTGCTAACCCTTGTGCTACTAACGGAGAGGGGCAAGCGCAAGGAAAGACTCCACCTCTTGGCCACAAATGCCAGGAAAGAAAACCGCTGTTAGGGTTTTGCTAAAACTGCAAAAACCCTTCTCACCTCCCAGAATACCCGCCGCTTCTTTTGCCTATGCACTTTGTAGATTCTCCTTCTTCATTTTTTGTTATCAAGAACAATGTTCCCTTAAACGGACACATCTTTAAAGGTCTGGACTCTGTTTCACAGTCACAAGGAAATCACACGCTATTGTCACACAGGGGACTACAGTCTCAGACAGCAGGTGGCTGAAGACAGTAAGAGGCAAGAAGCAAGAGCAGCAGATGGACTGAGATCCTGTTCCCAGGTTCGGCTAACACAAACGCTGTGATCATCCTCGAGGGGGACATCCTTTACTCACAAACGTTACTGGCACAAGCTAATTACATGTTCTGACTACAGCCAGGAGAGGAAAAAAGATAACACAAAAATACTACTCACTAAAGACGATGACACAACTCATAGGAGCACTCTGGTTTCACGGTCCATGGTCAGAACCCCATTTATTAAACATTATAAACTTATCAATGTACACCATTTCCTATATACAAAACAAGTTTATCAATTTAAAAAAAGTGCTGTTCGAAATTAGGTTTTATTTAAAGCACAAGGTAATCGGAATTGCATCTTAACTGAAAGTGAATCAGTTCACGAGTAGTATTGAGAACACAGACACATTGACAGGGGCACGAGACACCTTTTAAGTCTTAATGTCGATTTACTGAAAACTTTGAGGAGAAACATTCAGCTTATATTATACAAACAGTACATAGTGCTTCCATCATCTCTATTAAAATTAAGTATACAGTTTAATCCTTTTAAAGCAAGGTACTCTGAAAACTTCTATTTTAAAATACCAGCCTATTTAGCTATTCCAAACAAAAGGCCCATATCCTGCAACTGAATCAAGGCAGACAAAAATATATGCCTGTGTAGACGGACTGCAGGCACGAGAGCTAAGTAAAAAACACTTTTCCAAGGAATCCTACCACAAAAATGAGATGATCTAGCATACTGACCTTTTAAACAAACCAACCAACCAACCCAAGGACTATAAAAAGGTGGCCGGACGGTAAGAAATGTCAAGTGACCACTATGAACATGTTTAAAACGTAACTGCACAACAGTATAAACACACAAAGGATGTTGTTTATTTCTCTACATGCCACAGTTACTTGTTCTACTCTAAGCTACGCCATAGTTTGCCAATACTCTGCAAATGCGATCACACCGGGGATACCATGCAATACTGGATCCATTCTTGACTGCTTTTGCTCCGTTTTGCAACATTAAGGCCAGCCTCCAGGAAGACTGCTGAAGTGATTGAGAAAAAGTGATACTGAGTGGTAGTTTGGCTGAGAGAAGTTCTGTAGAAGACTAGATAAAGAGAACATCGGATCAATTCACAGGGACAAGATGTAAGAACAAACTACTCAAAGGACTTCACTACACACAAATGAAAAGGAGAGAACCAGCCAACAGCTTAAATTCACACTTTTTTGATTTTTCAGTGAAACCACCGCAGGGGGAATTTTTTGTGACATGAACACGCTACTTCAATCCCATTTAAAGTTAGTACAAAAAAAAAAAAAGATAGTAGTGAAAAATTGCTTTATTCTTGTTGCTGGAAACGGAAGCAGAGAAAGCACTACCAGTATGAAAGAACAGTGCTGAAAATATCCTTGGCGTTTACATTAGGGACTTCCTACAGCAAATCTAGCTTTGTTCTATTGCACAAAAATTGTAAATGAAAATAAAAGTTCACAGAAATGTAACATTTTAGAAACCACTTTTGAAAAAGGAAAGTAAGGGCACTCAATTCAAGAAAGTTCCTTTAGAAAACCAAAAGCCATCGCTGGGTCACTGCAGGGCGTCAAAATTAGACTTGAGAAGAACGAGGAATTGTTTCAGCCTTGCAGGCCCAACAGTACGCAAACCTAGCGAAATCCACAGAAACCATGTTGTCCGAACAGACACGCTCCTTCACTTTTCTCCAACTGCAATTGTGCTTTGAATCATCTGCTAGCGGGAGGTTTCCGGTATTCAAAAGGTACTTTCAGCAGCTGCTGAGATTGCTTTACACAGGACGTGCAGACAGACTGATCCACTTTATTTACCTGAATTTGCACTTGTATCTTCAAGGATGGATCTCCACACCTACCGCTGCGCTGGCTTCGCTGGAGTTCTGCTTAGTGAACTCGCCCAACAGTCCTCGGGGTGGGAGAACTGAGACCCCAGAATAAAACCACTACATAGGATTGTCCTAAGGCAGCTCGAATACGAACAGATGTCAGATAATCTGCTTCAAAAGCATAGCGTTGCTATCAAATGCTGTGTTTTCCTAGGATCTCTTAACAGATTGCCAAATACATTCTGCGCGCAAAAAGGTTTCCTTTTGATATATGATTAGAGGCCTCATAATTTAAAGCGTGATTAGCCAGCATCTTCTTATCTACAGTAACTACAGCATCCTGTAGTAATGCAAGCCCTAAAAATCATTATAAAAAATATTTCCTTAGAGCACTTTAAATAATTTACAAAATTCTACAAAAACTATGTATGTTTATTCACGATATCCCTGTTAAATAGAAGCATTTTTCACATTAGTGTGTATATGATATACAGATATCAGCATCTCCCACCGTCTCTCCTTTCATGTCTCAAGTTTTATCAAGGTAATTACAATGATAGTTATTTTCTAAAAAGACTGTTACTGTAAAAAACAGTGTACTTACATATTTGAAACCTTTCTTTTCAAGAGGGAATCTGGGCAGTCCCCTGCAGGTAGGTCAGTAAATTTTGCACAGGTTTTGTCTAAAACTTCCTGCCCTGGGTCCACTTCACAAGCAGTTTCCCTATTCTGCAGGACAGGTATTTTTCCTTCCAAATTGGAGCTGGATACCTGAATTTCTTCCTGCCTGTCACCGTCCTGGCAGGTAACTTTTTCTTTCTTAACGCTCATCTGCATACTGTTATTTGTACATGCTCCTCCACTAGTTTTATCCACTGCTACTGCTGTCACATTTAGTTCCTGCAGTGGGCAACCTGAACTCGGATCTGGCCTCTTGTCCTGCTGGTTATTCTCTCCCTTACTGCACGCGTGTATACTCTGCTGAGATGTGTCTCTGCTAACTTTATCTGCTTTTACCACTGCCATACTGTGTTCAGGGCGTGGGGGATATAAATTTGAATCGGCCCAGCTGCCTCTGTGGATACCTCCTTCCTCAGTCCACATCTGTGTGTTCTCAGCGTTGGATGTTCCTCTGCAAACCTTATCTACTTTTGCTGCTGCCACACTCCGCTCCTGCAAGGGGAGACTCAAGTGCGAATCCGACTGGTCTCCTGAAGCATCAGCCTTTCTGCAACCCTCTGCTTCCTCTTTGATACACAAAGGAGCAGCCTCCAGTCTTTCACAGGTTTCTGCTACATGGGGACTCGACACTTCCACAGCGAGCTTCTGAGAAGAACTGGATTCTTTTAATCCTGTTGTACACTCCCCACTAAATTCACCTTTTGGCAAGGGGGCTCCTCTTCCCTGGTTAAGTACGTCTGTATCCTGGGAAGCTACCTCTGCTCCTAACGCACTGCTCTGGGCGAGCAAACGCTCTGCTTTCTGCCTTTTGTTCAAAAGCATGGATTTCTTCCTGTCCCGAGCATATTTTAGACCTGCAATAAATTTACTCGAAATTTTTAGGTGAAAGGTATTCTTTCTTTTAGATCTAGACTTTGCATTAATTACTTTTTGTACTTTACAACCTTCATTTTTGCTGGTTTTAGGTGGAAGCACTTTCTGCACGGGCTCCATATTAGGGACATCCCTTTTAGCTGTTGTGTTTCCAGATGACTCACCACCAGCAACACCTTTAACCCCCACCACTCCTTGCTTAGCTTTTGACTGACCAGTAGTATGAAGATTAACATTCTCTGCAGAGGAAGCAGATTTCCCACTGCCATGTAACATTGCACTTTTCCCTTCCGTTCTCTGAGAGTTCTTCAACTCATCAGTCTGCTGAGATACCTCGGTCTTTTTACTCTGACCCAGCATGAGGTCAATCTCATTTTCAACCAGCTGTTGCTTTGCCTTTCCTTTATTAGCAGTTTGTTTGGTGACTCTCAATAGGTCCAGAGTTGCATCATCTTTTTGTATCTCTGAATTGCTTGCGGAGTCTTTAGCCTTTTCTGCCAAAAACTTCCTTATTTCTTGTTCGATGCTGTCATCGCTGTCCACTGAACTGCTGTCATCAGCGTCTGACGCAGCTGTGAAAGTACATTTTTTATTTTTAGCTACCTGCAGGTTATTCTGGTTTGAAATTGGTTTAGGTTTATATCCTTTTTTAAGCTGTAAGTTAAACTCTAAGTTCTTCACGGTTTCTGGTTTTTCATTGCTAAGTTTGACATTTGCATTGTCCGGAGGATTTCTGATTGCATTCTCTTTCACAGCCTTTCTAGGTTTTGAGAGGCAGCTTTTCAGCAGCACGGGACTTTTACATTTCCACTCATTTTGTTGGAGGCTACTAAATTCATCCAGCAGCTGAGTTTCTGTCTCGCTAAATCTGACTCTCTTCTTGCACTGAGATTTCTGGTCCTTGGACTTCTTCTTTAATTTCCTTTTAGACCGTAAGAGGTCCTTGATAGCACTATCAAGGTCCTCATCACTATCAAGAGAACTGCTCTCATCATCCGAACCATCCCTCTCTTGAGTTTGGATGGTATTTTTCATAAACTTTCTTGCGCTACTCTGAACCTGCACAAAAGGGTTTACGGAGTCCAAGGCCACACATCTGCCAACAGATCCGGATAATTCGGAAGACATCAGCTGCTGCTGCCCAGTCTCTTTGCTGCTGAGCCTTTGAGCGTCACAGAGTTCTGCAGGGCTGCTCAGGGCACACCCCTCTTGGAGCACAGGAAATTTTGAATAGTTACCTGGCTGGAAAAGTCCTGTCTCCAGCTGTTCAGGTGTTTTTGATGCACTTTGTTTCGCTATTCTGCCTTCCCTTTTAAGTCTCCTTTTACGACTCAGTGATAGCTTCAGCGTTTTGGGAAGAGAAGGCTCAAGGGTACTGGTGAGGCTGTTTTGATCAGAAGGCAAAGGCATCTGGATGGAGTGTGACAGGCTGGGAGGCTTTGTTCCAAGGCTTTCTGACTGTGCTTTCAGAGCTAGAAAAGCCCTGATTTCTTGCTCTATACTATCATCGCTGTCCACAAGGCTGCTGTCACTTTCACAGCGGGAGGATGAGAGAAGCTGGGGAGAAAAGAAGGAGTCTGCAGCGAGTGATTTGTTGTCACTTCCCATTTGGGATGGCATGATTGTTTTGGAAATATCAAGGATAGCTTCCGCGCACATGAGCTCTGCAGATGTGTCTGCTCTGCAAGAGGCCTGCAATGTGAGCTCACAAGCAGCAATCTTGTTTTCCGGAGGTGCAAAATGCCTGGCTTTTTTCAGTGGTTTAAACAGCTTGTTAAATTCATTGCTGGTGCTTTCTAATTCTGTTGACTTTGAATTAATTTCTTTTCTCTTGTTGCTTATAGGGCTTTTATGGATTTCTGGTGAGGCACTTTTTGTTGAGCTAATCGTTAGGCTTGCAGAAATGTCCGCCATACCCTTTGTATCAAATTGTTCCCTCTGCAAAGGGACACAGTCTGTTGCATGACCTGCCTCTTTCCTGATTTTCTCCAGCTGATAAAGCTGAATGGCTTCTTCAATGCCATCATCGCTACTTGAGTCAGATGCGTGCATGCTGTCATTGATAAGTGCTCCCCTCGTCTCCCAGTAATTAGCTCCACTTTCTTCATTTTGCTCCACTAACCAGGGCTGGCTGGCAGTGGCCATTTCTAGATATGCTTGGTTCACTTGGCTGAAATCACTAGGCTCTTCTTGGATTTTAGACTGCAAACACTTGGACTGCGTGCTGGTTTTCTGTAGCTTGGGATGGTGTCTCAAGAGGAGCGCATTACAACCTCGCTTTATAGCACCACAGTTTTTGTTAGCTGTTTCTTTGTTGCATTTTAGGACAGATCTCACATGGGAATCTTTTTTACCCTCCCCGATTACGCACTTACTAATTTCTTGCTGCTTCTTCTCATTCAAGAACTGTACTATTTCAGCTTGTATGCTCTGTTCAAAAGAGTCATCGCTACTGATGCTCTGAGGGGAAGCAGGCTGTAGCCTTTTACCGATTCCCAGGTGGTCAGACAGGTACTCTTCAGAGAGCATCTCAGCTTTAAATTTCATAGGAAGAAGGTTACTAGCCATTTTGTTCTGGGAGAATTCTCTCTTAAACCTTTTGTCTCTGCTTATATTCTCAGAACACTCTGCATTCCTTTGCAATGACTGGTCACTTTTGCTTTTTGCTTTCAAGTACTCTTGAATGGCTTCCTCTATACCTCGGTCAACAGAATCATCACTATCAGAATCGAGCAAGAGAGTCCCAAACCCCACATTCTCTTCCACTTCAGTGTCATCTGAATCAGCAGGGCAACCACACTTGGTATATTGAGGATGCTTCCGTAGCAATGCGGTGCTAGATGTGACTCTGTTACTAGTGCCCTTTTCTCCCTTTTGTTTCTTCTGCATAATACAACCATACTCATTGTTCATACCCAGGGGAGACTCTTGACTTTGCAGGTTGTTTATGATCATCTGAACTTTTGCACTTACAGAGGTTCTAGTGACGTCCCCTTCAGATTCAGAGAAGCAAACGGGATATCTACAATTCCTTGCCGGTCCAAAGGACTCCCATTTTGTCTGAAGAGCTACCAAAGGAGAAGCATTCATAAGGAACATTCTAGCAGACAACAGCAAAGTCCACAATGGAACAGTTTTTCAGACTGGTCTCTCTTCCATCCTACAATAAAGAAAGAGAAAAAAAAAATTATTATGCATCTACCCTCTAGAAGTTCCATGTAATAGTACTGGTAACATAACTTGTAAATTATTAACGCTCAGACTTACTGTGCCAGATAATCACAAGAGTTACTTCTCAACATCACTTTAACAAGTAAATCAGTCACTACTGCCATTAAGGATAAGACAGAGCACTCATCATCTGTGGTTTTCAGTATTTTCTGGGACAACCGTAATCCAATTCAGGTAATTATCTTCACTTCCGAAACTCTTCCCACACTTTCCATTGAAGGTCGCACTCTCTTTTGAGCACGCTCCTAAATAACCATGTATTGTCAAGACTCACAAAGAAACACTCTGAAGATACTTCAGTGCACAGGCGTGTGCGATCCCCTCCTGCACTAACATTGGCTTAATATTTTTGCGATGAACTTTGTGGCCAGAGAGAAAGAACAATTCTAAGGGAATCTTTCATAAAAAAGTGGAATCGGTGGGAGTGGAGAACCCTGCAAAATATTCTGCTCCCTGTGTTTCCTTTGGCATAATTGCCCTTTTTAAAGAACTCCTGCCATGCATAGCTCAGCTTTTCAGTTTTACAATGAAAACAATGTTGGCTATGTCCACATGGTATATAATGGGTGGACGTGAAGCAAGCTTGCCCATGATCTGAGATGGTGGACCACAAACCAACTCTTATTCAAAGAGCAGAGTAACTGCCTTAGTGTGATGCCTGAACTCACACACTAGCCCGAGACAGCTTTTACTAATTCTGGCTTGGCATCAAGCACACACAACTGAGGGACGTGGGGCAGCAGCTCAAAGAGAAGGAAAGGGAGCTTATTTCTTCCTGAAACATACTATGCAGCAATAACCCTGAGACATCAATCATTCTGGCTTCACCGCAGGGTAAAAGCTCTTGGTAAACACAAACCTTTAGGAGTTTGCAAAAGCAGGATGAATATTATGAACTATTCTTTGTATTACAGTAGAAGCCCCAAACAGAATGAAGCCCCATTTCACTGAAAAGGGAAAAAAGCCATCCAGAAAATGCCAGATAACGCCCCAAAGAGTTCACAACTTTCACGCGGTCCCATGAGAGCTGAAGGTTTCACCTGCAGCATCATTTCGTGGGATCAAAACAGTATCTGGCTGCCACAAGGCATACAGCAACCCCAACAAAAAGCTGCAGCCATAGAGCTGTTCCTCAAGCCCAATTCAGAGTCTCCCACACAAACCCAGCGAGCCCCGACTGCAGCGTGGCACTGGACTCTACCGACCTACAGAGACGAACTTCTGCCTCTGAATCCTCTCCGACCTTGCCCTCGTCAATTATTCTCTAGTTCTGGTTTCAAATTAGTCAGTGGCGATAAATATTCTAAAGAATTAATGATACTAAACTCTTTAAAACTTATATTTATTTGCTACTGAGAATAAGATGACAGACAACCAGGGAAGACAATTCTTTATCACTTTTAAAAAGAGCACAGTGCTCCAACGAAGAACGTTATATTTAACATGACAAATGCTTTTGTCAAAATTATTCCGGGACCTGTGCTCAGGGAGCAGTTTTATTGCCATCTTGTTAGTAGACTAGAATATTCTTGAAATCTTATTGACCAAGGCAGAATCACCCTGAACATGCCTTACATGACGTCGGCAGAGCGGTTAGCTCCAAACACACCACTAATAATGCTTTTGCCACTTCTTTTGCTAGTTCTCTGCCACAGAACGTCTTAGCAGAATACATTTTAACCCAAGCTCTGGACATCCGATTTTCTTTTCCTCAGTGGTAATTACTTTCAAAACATCGTTCCTACAGAACTCAAGTTTTAAGCGTAGCGATCAAGAATGTCCCTCCTGGGATGGAACCTGGAGCAACCCCACACACGCTGTTTTAACTTCCACCTTTTAGTCAAATGAAGATAGTTTAGACTGAATTCTGCTCTGCGCGTGCCAATAAAGCACAGTGCTCCCGACCGTTCCTGTATTCGGCCATGAACTAACCGGGGAGGTGTCTCAGAAACAGTCCGACGCGACACGGGTCAGAACGGCAACTTTCAGAAACACGTGAATGAGCACGCAACTTCTAAAGTAGCCTCCAACACATTCACTAGGGCAAACATAAATTAAAAACATTTTTCCTTGTAATAAGCAGCTAAGGGACAAGACGACAGAAATTAGAATACCTAATTATCCTGAAGAAATGCAATTAACACACTTAAGCTCCCAGCTTCATTAAAAAAAAACCAAACAAAACCAAACTTATTTCCTATTAACATTTTTCCAGTTTCCAGGAAGGGGCAGGTGCCTTCATTACCCTGCGCTGGGATTGCAGTCGCGCTACAAGAATTACACGGGACTGGGATGAACTTTCCCGCCCCCGCGATGCTTCGGGCCAGGGCACCCACCCAGGGGCGCGGGCTCTGAGGGGACACCCACCTGAGGGCACCCACAGAGGGTGTGAGGGGACACCCAGGGGCAGCTGGAGGCTGCATGAGGGGGGATATGAGGGGGCACCCACAGAGGGTGTGAGGGGGGACCCACAGGGGCTGTGTGAGGGGACACGAAGGGACACTCACCGGGGGGCACGCACAGGGGCTGCGTGAGGGGACACTCTCCCGGGGAGAGCACCCACAGAGGGTGTGAGGGGACATGAGGAGACACCCTCCCCGGGGTGGAGGTACCCTCCGGAGCTCTGCGAGGGGACACGAGGGAACACCCAGCCGGAGGGCACCCA